TATCCTTGTTGAAAGTTCATCAAGAACTACTACTTTATCAGGATTTATACACAGTTTCCAAAACAAGTGAATTAGTCAACATATCCGACCATTTTACTTCTTATTCTTTTTGAACTAAAAATCAGTGTGTACATATATCCTGTAGCATCATCTTACATTTAACAGGGAGAGAATAACACACCAAAATATTAGATGGATTTTTACTCAAGATATTTCAAAGACTATGCATTTTATCAGCGTGTTTCATATGGGATTATATGTACTTGTACATACATTGTTTAGTGAATAGGCGAATATCACTTTCAAGTATTGATTTGTAGGGATTTGGTTGATTGGTTACAGGATTTCATCATGAGGTGACATTAGTTAGAGAACCATCGGAAAACCTGGGAATACTGGACAGCTGTTTCGTCCTAGTTTGGGACTCTTCATCAGTACGTACCCACAATACGGGTTCGAACCCAGGACCTTCTGGTTACAAGGCGAGCTCGTCCCAAACTAGGACACAACAGCTGTCCAGTACTCTGGTATGGGTTTCCAATGGTTCTCTAACCAATGTCAGCTCATGATGAAATCCTGTAACGAATATCAACTTTATTGACGAAGATGATGTCAGTCGATAAACACCAAACCAAACTTTTGTATGCACGCTGCGATTTTTGTCGGCAATCAATCAATCAATCAATCATCAACCTGAAACCAGTTTGCAAATCTTCTGCACTCACTCACTCAGCCAGCCATCATAGACAACAAGGTTCAGATTTTCAACATAAATGTGAAATCGGTCAGTCAGTTCTTCTATACGGGGTCAGAAAGTTACACTGCGCGTCACGAAAAGGATTTCCAACAAGTCGCTGCAGACTTTTATCAACAGGCGCCTTCACTGGCTGGCTCCATAATGAAGATCAGATGGCTTACCAGCAGGCCATAAAGAATCAGCAACAAGAAATTCTGGCTGGGAACAAACCAACTAAGAGCCTACTGCTCAACAAATATGTAGGAGAAAATGGAGATGGATGGGGCATACGTTGAGAAGGCTGTCGAATAATATCGCGCGCAATGCAGGCCATCGCCCGAGTGGAATCCCAATGGGAAGCGACAAGTGGGTTGTTGGGGTGAGGGTGACATGGAGGAGATGCGAGATTATGGGCAATCGTGTGACTAGCCAGCTGAAGAGGACAGCAGGAAATAGAACAAAGTGGAGATGTGTTGTTGAAGCCCTCCTATGTTCCACTCGGAACTGAAAGGAATAAGAACATAAATAATTGTTTCGTGAAACTGTGGGAAGTATAAAACCTTCTTATTTAAAAATGCTTAATTATAAATAATTTTAGGAGTAAAAATGTAGTGAATACTGACCAGTTTACAATGAGTGGCTTTTAGTATGTTAATCGTAAAGTTGGTAGACCACTAATAACGTTCTACATAAACAAAATTTGTTAGCAAATATCCTGGGTGATTAGTAATAATTTTATTGATCTATTGATTTAAAACATATTTGGTACATTACGGGCACCAACAGATGCGCCACATAACAATTATAAAACAATAATATGTAAGGAAAAATAGGGATATAATGAATGAGAGACGTCATTCAGAAAGCAAAAGAGCATACTTGTCAAGATCACTCAACAGTCATCATTTCATATTACTTTCAAAAAGGCAAGAAAGAAGGAAGTCGCAGTATGCTCGCCATTAACTGCATTTTTGCCCATGTCTGATAACATTTTCAACCACTGATTCAAAGTATTCCTTGAACCCCAACCAAAGAGTAGTGATGTACAAACTAGTGCTAACCTAACATAAACATCTTCAATCCTACGGGACCACGTCATAGGCTGACCACTTTGACACTTTTGCCAACCATTCCTAGGGCTAGTGAACAGACAGCGGTACGGAAGCCTCTGGAATGCAATCAAAACCCGTGTTTCCAAATGACGATGCTCAATGAATGGTGACTTCCATCGCGCCAAAACACACGGTGCCATCGAACGCAGGTAATTCTACGGAAACAGCGACGATCGAATACGTAGAGTCGTAGCATATATTCAGCTCGGCAGGGTCAAGTTTCCTATGTGTGTGGAGCAGGACTGCGCACACCAAAGCATTGTAAACTCGACTTTTGACAGCCAGAATGACGTCGCTACGAAAGTGCCAGAGGTGGCTAAAAATAGTGTATGCCAACACCCTAGCTTTCACTATACGTCCGTTACTCCTCTGTCAGTATTCAAATAACTACCTAAATACACAAACTTATCGGCAACTTCAAGTGGTTTACCTGCACAAGTGAGTGTAGCTACAGGCTCCTGACAATCTTCTAGTCAATGGGGTCCCAGTTTCAAGTCGCCCTAGATTCACCTAAATCAGACTGGGCAACTAGTGGATAGTACCGTCAGCCCCCACGCAATAATTGTATAGCTCTTGTAGTCTGGTGCAAGGATTATTCATAATTACACAAGGGTTATTTTGGTGTTTGTTAATAACCAATTTTATATCTGTTATAACTACCCTGAACAGGATAAACCTGTCGCCACTTTGTTATGTCTGAGCCTGCTGATTGGTAATAACTCGACTAGTACCCTAGTATGCCTATTTGCCCGTTGCACCTTCCGATTCACTTAGCCAAGCATATATCAAAAGACAAAGGCTGGCCTGTGACTGTAAGATACTGTACTGTACTGTATATTTTTTTTAGGAAAACGACACATAGTATATATATACATTTTCTTTACAACAATAAAGTCGACTCGCAGCCATCAGAAATGATTGATCGCATAATCAATCACAATATGCGTGAGAAATGATGATATACTATTTTATGCGGGATCCTATCAATATGTACACAAAATCATCAATCGGACAATACACCGAACAGTATTCATCGCTAAGTTGTTGCACATCTCAGAATTGATGTAGTGATAAGATTTAAGCTACTGGGTACGGATATCAGATCTAGTAATTTAGTAGTAACAGTACCCAAGAGTTCCAGTGACCAATGCACGACTACTACTACTACTATTACTACTACTAATATTAATAATAGTCAGAGTATTATTGAATTTTTCTGACATACAATAGAAAACAACAGAAAAAACTATCAATCAAGTACTTCACAATACATTTTTACTCTCTTTTAGACTAATGATCAACTGTGAAGCAGTTGAAATACAGAAATGTAAAACCTTCATCGTCATATAACTCACAGTGTGTAGTGTTTTAAAGGATTATCCATAAATGATTAATTAGCATTTTGATAATAATAGTAAAAAACAAAACAACACAACTTATATGTGACTGTTGAATAAAAATCACCTTAGACAATGATCACATTTCGTTGTCTACACACTTCACTTAAGCACTATTCAAAAAGATTCTATCATGATGATTAATTAGATTTGCTGTATTGTGACCTAATTGTATGAAAACAATTTGGTTTTAAGTGTGTGTGTGTGATTTAAAAATTAGCTTCTGTATAATGTGAATACACTCAATAGATAGATATTCTATAACCTTTCAATACAATTAAAGAAAATGATGATTGATACGACAGCTAATTTTTTTAATGACGTCAATGTGTTAGAGAACCATTGTAAAATCGGGGAGTACTAATGGATAGCTGAACTGGTAGAAGGTGGAATTCATGGGCCATTGGATTCCAGCTCAAGTGACTGAACAGTTTACGAACTCGTCTTGTGACCGGAAGGTGCTGGGTACTGAAGAGTCCCAAAAGAATAGGACGAAACATCCACTCTAACTGATGTCAGCTCGTGATCAAATCTGTAACCAATCAACCTGTAGATCAACAACTGGATGATCATAGAATAGCTGAGCAAAATCTTAGTCAGTACAGTCTATCTCGTAAGGAAAAAACTTGCGTACATTGACGAGGTGAGTTTTAAACAATGCCGATGAAGATCGTGAACAATTTCGCGCATATCACCATCATTCACCAAGAAAACATTATTATTATTATTATTCATAAAACAAAAACTTGTTACATTATGGGCTACCAAGAGATGAATCACACAAAATCTCGCAGTTTGCACAAGGGCTGGAATAATGCCCAGATCAGGGCAGGTATTTATCTTAAGGCATCACCCCCGGGCCTTTGACTTGAAGTCTGATCCATCGGAAGTGGAGCAGTGTCAGAAGCGGCGTTCCCATGGTTTCCAGTGACCGAAAAAGGGTTCATATTCCACCCAATCCCTTAAGATTCTGGAGCCCATGTACGTTATAGGTTTAGAATCGGAGTTTTCCAGCTCCTTTAGATAGACCTACATATCCATCAGTCTGGAGATGAGCACCAGAAGTCCGCATTCACTTTTGTGAGAAACATCACCGTCATGTGGAGGTAGTCAATAGGACTTTCCTGGCAGAGGCTGTGAACACTCAGTCACATGGAGGCATTTCTAGAGAAATACCGAAGTCTACCCACTCTCAGCTGTACCAGGTCCTCTCAATGTGAAGCTTTTAAAATATTAATCTGTATGCCCTTGCTGTCTTTGAATCACAAGATAATTCGTAACCATCACTCATCCCATTCACCAGCCAACCCCACCCCCAAATTATCATACCTATTTTTGTGCAACTTCTCTCTTTAGAAACTACTTCTGTGTGTCACTGCTTTAATGATGCAACTCCCGCTGTTATTCAATAGTTGATAATGTTTTACTAAACAATAATTTTTTATTATAGCTTGATTCCACAGTATTTTTTTAGTACAACTATGGAATTTTTAGCATGTGATATCGGTAGACTAAATTTAGCAGGCCGACCATTGATACCAGTTGTGCGTCGGCTGGGGATCGAACTCCGGATCATGTTCATGGTCGGCGAGCGTCCTAACCGCTGTGCCACCGATGGTAAATTCTCTGAAGTCGGGCTTTATCGTTTAAAAGAAAATTCTCTTCACAGAACAGTATATCATGTCTTGTTACCTTCACAACTCAACTCACGGCGTAGCGACGAAAATAAATAAATACATAAATAAATAAACTTACTAAAGTAATCTAGAGTATTTTCAATCTGTTCTTCTGTTAAGCCAAGCGATTCGTCCTCTTCTTCGTCTTCTGCCTCTTCAGAATAATCTTCTTCTGATTGATATTCAACTGTCTTATTATAATTATTATTACTATTGAAATTATCACTTAATTCTGAATTGACTGTGGTCAATTCAGTTATTGATTTAGGCAAAGTGGAATGTTTGCTAGATAAATGACGCGTAACTCGTCTAGCTGCTGACTTAAAGTCTTTATTTTTATAACCTATGAAAGCAGTACACGGATCCACTCGAAGACGATAACGTGGAAGTGATTCACGTTGACCAATTAAACTGATCAATTCAATTTCAGCAATAAATTTATCGTCGTCTTTGTCGTCTTCTTTTTCTTTGGTAAAACTTTCAGATAATTGATTATTTATATTGATTTCTGATTTGATTTTTGATTGGACAGTTTGAATTTGATTATGATTTATTGTTGATTGATTTAGAATATCAGAGGATGGATATAATAGGGCAAGTTTTTCTGTTAAACACTTATTCGACTGATTATCAACAGCTTGACATATGTGAAGATTGGAGCAATTCTTTTCATCTGTAAATAAGGGAATAAGGAAAACAAAAAACAAATCTTAAAGTAGATATAAGTATAAAACTTGGGCACTGTTGTAGAGTATAACTCCATTAAGGATAAGATTTTATCTTGATAAGTCACACAGTGTTACACAGTAATATCAACTGATGACCACGTTTCGAGCATAAACTATTGCTCATAATCATATCAAGTTACTCACACAACTCTCTTGCTTCATTTACATACATGTGTGGAATTGACAAGATATTTAAAAAAATCAATCAGAAATAATTATTTGAGTGTTATTGATCAATTACAATCACATGGGAAATAAGACGAGTGTTTTCATAGTCATAATAAGTAACCTGTTAGAATGTTATGATGTACGTGAGTTGAAATAGAATTTTAAGATTATTTATTATCCTCTTCTGATTTGACCGGTGGTAATAATATCTTCCATATTTCTGGTATTTGCATTGAGTCATTTCTGTTGCATATGTTGGGTGTAGAATCGATGAACAAGGATTCAGTAATCAACCTCTCTCTCCACCTACCTAGATTACTTCCTACAATTTTAACCCTCTCCCACCCTATTGTATGGTTGTGTGTTAATGCATGCAGTGCAATTGCTGAGCTTTTTTATACATTACTTATCTTCTGAGGGTCAACCATTCTTCCCTTAGCTGAATTCTTATTTTCCGACAATCTGATTACCCCTGATCTACTAGTATGACGTAAGTAGTTTACCTCACTCACAGTCATTGCAAGGCATTTTGTAAATTATATTGTTTTGTCTAATTGGGTCAACAGGGTCTTTTAGCCTACAGAGCTTCTCCAACCTGAGTGAGTTTGTAGGTTTAAATGCCACCCTAATTCTTGCTTTATTAAGAATCCTACGGAGGGTCTAAGATGTTCCCTCCCTATATGATATAACAGTAGATGACTTATATTCCCTCTTATTTATGCTATCATTACTAGTTTCACAATTATTTTTATTTTGCTTTTGGCCTTTTTCGATCTTCCTAATGAATTTTAGTTAGGATAGTTATTTAACACCAAAGCCTCTTCTATCTGTTTTATTTCATCATTTAGGTCTTTTTTTGTGCTACTTAGTGCTACTGCTCGGTTTGTTAGACACCTAGTTAAGCCTGTCTTAACAGTGAACGGATGAAACGAACTAAAGTCTAAATATCTATTAGAATGCGTTGGTTTTTTATAAACACTAGTGTGTTCGTTTTATTTCACAATCTAACATAGCTAATTCTCCTTGTTCATCTTCCGATTCAAAAGTGAATTTTATTTCCTCTACTAGTGAGTCTATATGTGTCAAGTAGGTATTTTAAAAAGGTGGAAAATGTTAAGAAATGGGCTAATAAACTGGTGTCAGGAAGTATATCGTATTATTCAAGGCACTCTACTGAAACTCGTGTTGCTGTGTAGGGAGTTTATGAAGAGTTGCCTTTTGAAGTGATAAAAACCAATGAGGTTCGTCAAGGATGGTCTACTGTTCCAATTTTGTTGTTGTTTAATTTCATCATACATTTACTAATGGAACTGACTTTAGCGACTTGGCGACTGACTTGCTACGAGGGAACAGTCTTGTTGACTCCTAGGTGAAGACAAACCGCAGGGTCTTCTGAACATCTTGAGCAGAAATCATCGAATGTTTTGGGGTGTGATTCACTGGACTACATTTACCCGTAGCTAGCTGTGCTTAACTGAAGATGTTTGCATTCACTTTACTAGTTTAAGTGGCCCAATATGGTAAGTAATATTGAGATTAGGTGTAGAGTGTTAAGTAAGGAGGGAAAGTCGATTTATAAGTTCATGAAGGTGAATAAATTCAGATGGCTAGAACACGTGTTATGCATTCCAAACCATCGCTTTCCTCAACCAACAATGTCAGCTAACATAAAATTGGATTGTAAAAGAGTTAGAAGTTGTCAAAGCATAATCTGGCGTCAGTGTTCATGCAGTCTTCTTGGTCGTCGGTTTGAGCCAAGTAGGGAGGTGAGAAATGCCAGGTTAATGTCCTCGGAATGATGAGAACCAATGGCTCAAAACCATCCTCAGTGGTGTAGATGCATCCAGTCTTTGTAATCTCTAATATCCATTAAACCATAATGTTTTTCCACGTCGCTTTTCTTTTACATGCACATTCCTGCTTACTTAGTTTTCTTGAATCTCTTTTGTCTACCCCCGCCCCTGTTTGCTACATGAAGTTGGGCAACTTGAGATGCCGCACTTCTGTGCAAAGTAGTTCCATGTTAAAACTCAATCAGTCGACAATATTTTGGACTTGTCACAATACATTTAGATGGCATATAGTTCAACAGGCAGATCAATATACGATTCTGTATCAATGTGCATCAATTTAAATCGCCATACACGAAAAGACACACAAAATGGAAGATTACATGAATAAAGTGTAACTGCTACGGACAAGCATTAGTGTAGAACCGGATGATAGTTAAATAAGGCATAGTGAAAGTTTCTAAACTAATAAAATTTATAATGAATGAATCCGTCTGTTCAGCAGTGAACTATTTTAGATCATGTCACCGTCAACTACCTCTAATTATTGTTTCGTAACATCTCAAGGATCTCAAAATAAGTCACTTAAATTATCCTATATGGTTTAGATGAAAATCCAAACTTCCTGCACTGGTGTTCTATTTTCGGTTGAACATTCCTAAAAATTTTCCTAGCCTAGTTCGCCTTCATCTAACACTGATCTCCGAGGAAGACGATGATCTGGTACACAACACAACCCAGAAACATAACAATCCATTCTGGTTTAGACCTCTACTTCTGATCTTAACACTTTCTATTTAGTAGTAATTCCCTTAAATTTAGACAATAGTTAAAAATACAGATATAATCTAAAACCTGCTGTCTTTACATATAACCTCTGCTTCCAGAAGATAATTTTCACAAATAATGAGTAGGATGGGGTGATTTTTTGCACAGCACATTTAGTATCTGATAGATAGCTGTCTTAATCTGAGGCCCACTAGAGACTGGCTCCATATGGGAAGTTACGTGCAGTTCTAGGAAGAAGTAGCAATTCGTGGGGTCCATGAAGTCAGGTAAGACAACAGTTACTCGTCAATGACATTGACTGTCAGAAGCTGGAACTCATGGGCTGTTCATTCAACCTGGTCCCAATGGCTGAATAGTCTACAAGATGGCCATATGACCTGAAGGTCCTGGGTTCCCATCCCCGTGAGTTCGTACTGCCGAAGATTCCAAAACTATAACGAAACGGCTGTCCAGTACTTCCTGCAGGTGTTCCAACGGCTCCCCAACTGATGTTAGCTCATGACAAAACCTATAGCCAACCAAATCCCTGCAAACCGATACTAGATATCTTAATTGCACTAATGCTCAGTGTCAAGGACAACTTAATAGCAATTCGATAAACTTCAAGCGTAAATCAAACGTGATAACAGATAACTAAACGCCTGTAAGTGGATTGAGTATGGAGCAAACTTTAATCATAAATTTTTAAAAGTAAAATGAAATGACACAAGAAATATTGTGATGAAATTTCTTACCCATCAGTGAGTACTCCAAAGATGCCCAATGTCTTCTGACATCACCCTGAGTTTGCAATTATGGAGAGAAAAAAAGAGAAGAAAGGTGTTAACAACTAATACAGCATTAATATTAACATAAGAATTAAATTGTAAACAAGATTTTAGTTATGAAAACTGAGTGGAAGGGAAAGAACATTTTTGCCAGGATGAAATTAAATAATTCACATTGATAAACAGGACGTCTACACTGATGATGAGCAGAAGATTTGCTTTTGATGACGAGTTTTTTGCTCATAAAAATCTATAATTATTATCAGGTAACTGACTTATATACATAAATATCTAATGCCCTGAAAAAGGACATTCTCTCCTGCTTCATTACTTTTGGTATTCTTATGCCCCGCCCATTGTTTTTCAACAAATCTAAAAATAAGCTATCGCATTTGACCATTTCTATGTGTATCTACCAATTTACTTTTTCATGTGCAGAGAAATATATATAGGTCGTTCGATGCGTGTTTTATCCAAAAGAGTCAAAGAACATTATCCCACTTGGTAACGAAAAAATAACAGTGGATCAATAAGGAATGCTATAATTGAACATATATTCAACACTGGTTAATCAGCATGTAAGGAGAATTCATTTAAAGTCCTCTACAAAGTCAAAAGAAGCCTCCTGAAAACGACAAGCTTCTGTATACTTTGCATTGCTGAGCGATTGTCATAGCGATCCAGATAGAAAACCCTGATTTATGTACACAGAAACTTCTCCACCCACTCCTTCTACCATGGGTATAATTCCATGTTCGACTTTGGTACTAATACTATTTTTGAATTTTCGTATGACATTTAAGTGACGTCTTTTTCTTAACTAACCCTTAATTTACTCTTTCTACCTATAACAATTTATTTTGGAGACTTGTACCCATGCACTTTCATTAACATCCCGCATCACCTTCCTCGGCGGGCAAAGTTGACTGACATAGGGTCAGGCTGGAAAAGAGCTAGTGGTGGTCAAACAAAACATGGCACCAGTCAATGAAATCTACAACAGTTAGTTTAAGCCACGTAGGAAGGTGTAGACTTCCTGGTTGGGGTCCTCGGGACAGTAAAAACCAATGGCTGGAAACACTTGGTGATATGGCTCAAAATCGTTCTCAGTGGCGCAGATGCATCCACTTTTTGAGACTTATGATTCCCAATGAAACTATATTGTTCTTCTTTATTACTATTCCTTTGTCCTACACCTCTGTTTACTGTCTCTAATATGCATATCTTCTACTTTCTTCTCTTGCTTTGTGTGGTACATGGAGGCAGTGTGGCGACTTGAACTGCCGCACATATGTGCGAAGTTCTATGTCGAAAACAGACAGACAGGATTAACATCCCAGTTTTCTGGGATGGTTACAATTTTAATTTTTATCACATTTTTTTCGAAACATTTTTAAGATGACGTAAACCATATATATATATATATATATATATATATATAAGAAATGGTAGGTTTCGTTCAATCAAGTGAGAATTCTGTCAATCTAATCTAAATTCTTAAAAATCATTTTCACTAACTTAGAACAGATTTAGTGCTTTACAAAAATCAGGAGAAGTTCCACTGAAAATAACATTGAGATCCTATAAAAATAAGAAATTAATAATGGAATTGTTTGAGATAGGGGGGAAACTCATGTTGGATATATTATAATCACTACTAGTTTTCAGTATTAGCTAAGTATGACAGTGTCTCACGACTTAATGGTAATGCATAATTCAAAAAGTTTTGAAACATTATTATATATATTCCATACAAAACCATCTGACTTTAAAACAAAACTGAATATAGAACATTGTTGCTTGAGGTCAACTAAGTGGAACAGACTTCTCATGTAGTCGGCTAAAAGCCACACTTATCATGTGAAGTTGGTTGATACTAGTCAGTTTTCCAGGCTGAAATAAGCGAGGCGGGATTCGAACCCGAGATCTGTCTACTGAAGTTTATTTTATTATTCATTTTGTTTCATTCCATCGCGTTCCGAGTGGAACACAGGGTTTCAAGCTTTAGACTTAGAAGTTTCTGTAGCAGTGGTTTTATCCTGTTTTTATGTGATGAAGTTGCTCAACTCACAACGAATCTGCCCTCTTTATCGGGATTACTACTGGCTCGGCAAGGTTTTTAAAAGTGCATCAGCCGAGGGTCGAACCCCGGACCAAGTGCATGCTTGTTGAGCATTCTTTCGTTGAACAACCGACGCAGAGAACTCATTGATTGTAAGTTGAGTATTTAGTCCAAAAAGCCATATTACCATCATTACCAATATTCAAATAACAAAACTTTGTCTAGACCCTTATAGTAATACTTAAATTGTGCTCAAAAATGATATCACAATAACATGAAGTAAGAGAAGGTGTCAAGAATGAATGCAATACGGCACAATAAGAGAAGTTTTAGTCTGAGAAATCAGCATCAATACTAAGCTATTAATTCATGAAACAACATTAAGTAAGATGCCTAGATTGACGTCGAAAATTTTGTTTAGAAGGCAACAAGTGACAGTAAGCAGACCACTAGTATGTCTAAAAACAAAAGTATTCTTCATTTTATAGAGTACTGTCAGGAACTGAGCATTTCCTCTAATGCGCTTTCTTATTGGTAGTAATAATTGGATTCACACTGATATGTATAAGACATTGATTTTCCTTTTAAACCAATATGCGTAGAGTTGCTTGTGGAATCACTGTATGAAAGTGAAGTTGGAACTCTTGATATAAGTATAAAACTTGGGCACCGTGGTATATAGTATAACTCCACTAGGGATAAGATTTTATTTTGATAAATCATCCAGTGTTATACAGTAATATTAACTGGTGACGTTTCGAGCACAAACTATTGCTCATAATCATAATGGACGTTTGAACTCTTTTATCATATATCCTGTAAAATCATAAACCTGCAAAGCTGAAATTAGATGGGGATATGAGTACAGTTTCACTTTTATTCCCAGAGTCGTTAGTAATAAAACAGACGAAACTTTTTTTTTGATAAGCTTATCTTTCCCAAACAAATAATTCTTCAGAGGAAGAAGAAAAACTGACAGAAAATATGTTGCAAACTTGATATTACACTGTATAGTTGTAGTTTATGTGTTGTAAGAATGTCTCCCAGCAAATACACAGCTGATCTGTAGAGAAATCGTACCATGCGCAACGTACCCATTCATCCAGGTGACTGCAAGTTATGGTACTTTGAGGTTCACTGGTATTTCTTACACTATTCTCCAACCTACTCCTAACCAACTGATGACACCTTCACCACCCCTTACTTGTATATTCATACCCTCTCTTATCACATCTTCATTAAAACGTATTTCATTTACTTCTTTTACAATCTACCATTAATTAGTCAGTTCAGATGTTTTCCCTAGCCTACATCGACTACTTCTATCTGAACATTTGTTTGTTTAATCATGCTGTTATCTATTATTTTTCTTATCACAGACTGCCTCACTTTCTCATCTTTGTTATTGATAGAATCATTATTATTATTGGTGTTATTATGACTAAGTGCACAATTTCTATGAACAATCATATTATCCTATTAACAAAACACCATGATTGGTTCATATCTGAATATTTATTTAAGTGATGCATATTAGAGTTAAGATCTGTTGTAAAATCCTCGGGAAAATATTTGCACAAGTTTAGTTTCGCTTCAATGTAATACCTTTGCTTACTGATTCTCAAAAGTTTTATTTTAACTCTTATATTAGTAAGTAAGGTAGGGTCCTTACTTTCGAAGGAATGACACGTTTTAGAATCATAATAACTGTATATTATACATATGCTATGAGATCCACATCACATCTGAGAAAGCTCAATGTGTAAGATATTTAATTTAAATTATTAAGGTATATTTTAGTAAATACCTCACCGAAGGATTGTACTTGCAAAAGAATGCAAGGAAAACAACCCAAAAACCAAGTTGCGTAGCTGAAGGTCAAACTCGGATAGTGAGCCCCATGTGGCCTTCAAGATTAATGTTTCAGGTGTTGAAAATTTTAGAATCCAGAGTTTAAGTTAAAATAACTTTTCTGACGACCCATTTCAAAATTAAAAAAGTTAATGGATAGCGCTTTAATGAAAACCAACACATCAATGCGTACCAATTTGTCTGCTTGACACAGTTTCATACACAGGAAAACAAAACCAGCGCACCTCCGAAATTAGCTGAAAACTACAAAAGAAATATTCCCGCAACACTTACTAAGAGTGTAAACCCACAGAAATCGAAGACACCTGAAGTCACACCCGTAGGTATTCAACTCATATAAACCCCGCCAAAACGGCGGTGCTAGCAGCAGGGACTGGGGTGTTGTAAAAAAGCCTACCTTTACCTGCTAGCAAACATGGTCTTACCAGCGTCACATAGAATATTAGTAAGCATGCTTGGGTTACTGACCTTTGAGGGGAAGGCAAGTAGCCAAGAACTGAGCGTAAGTAAGAGATCGGTTGATCAAACTATCTGGACTTGTGTAAGGTACCGGTGTTCAGCAACAGTCTACGTTAACACAAGTCACTGTTCGATCGGGAACAAAATAGGGCAAAATAAGACATAGCGCTCTACCTGCAAAGATACATAGATTGTACAAGGGTGTTCAGGCACCTCAAGGTTAACCACCTATATTAAGGGTGACAGTGAGCTCTGCTAAATACACTCGGAATGTATTATTACTGTCACAAAATACTAGTTGTAGACAGTAGCTTAAAACATACGAATAAGACCCTATAGGCCATAGGCACAAAGGCGAGTAGTGAGGCACTTACCGAAACTAATGCCCTCCACCTCCATGGTCACACACGGTGTTTCATGACTGCAAACTGGCACTGCTCTAAAGAAGCACATGTATAACGTAAGCAGAGGAGATAGACCTTGGTGCCTCTGGGGCAGTCTCGATTCGTAGACTACCCTGTCCCACCCATCTCGAACGGATCAACTTACGAGTGGCCACAATGTTTTTAGTTCAGCTCCCAGGAGCAATTGCTTATAGTGCTCTAACAGTGGTAAGAGATCGAGGGTAAGGTTGACTGACATTTCTGAAGGTTTGATAGTCAACCCAGGACCCAAAGAAGGCAGCAGAGTGAGACCAAGATACTTACCTTTTCCACAGATACAATAAATTGGTGAGATATTGAAGATGACAAAAGTGTCACCCAGATGTCGTAATCGATCCTGAGGGAAAAAACGACAACAGGCTGATTCCATCGGAATAGGGTGGTTAGTTTAGTTTTAAATACGAAATAAAATGAATTTTGTGGCACATGAATTTTTAACTTCTGTTCCCCTTTTTTACCCGGTCAACCAGTACCCGAGTATTGGTGATTACGATAAGGAATAATTGTTACACTTCAGAATACCTGTAAAATTAAATAACCAAGGATTATCCATAGGCACTTCATTGTCCTGTTATTCATCATCTGAAAGTTCTACTGATATTTCTAATCGTCTCATCTCATTTCACCTGCGTGTAAAGGAAGAGTTCATTGAAGGTTGGCTTCCTTTTTAAAATAAGCCAAGAGGCAGATGAAGAAATACGATTATCATTCGTTGACATTTTAGGGATTATTATTCAGTGTTCTGTACCTTGTTATACCTAATCGGTTTCACTCTGACTGACAAAGTTTCACTACAGAAGTTCTCTTAGTAGGTCAGTTGTTAAAGTTGCCGCATTCCAAGTGACACACAGATGTGCAGAAAAGGTAGGAAAAATTAAGCAAAACTATAGTCAGAAGAAATACGAAGGAGAGAGAATGGTAACGTGGAAATTCCTGAGGGTTCAATGGATATGGTAGGTCACGGAGGCTGAGCACATCTATGCAATGATTTCAAGTCATGTGTCTGATAGTTATTCAAACTAACTGTCAAAGATTTCATGAACTGATGCCAGGTTTTGGTCTGACCAACCTTAGCTCCTTTCAACCTCATAAGATGTTAGCTTACACTGCCTGTCGAAGAAGGCGATGGCTTGGTACGCAAACTATGTTTCCCAGCCGTAGTAATCAGTGCGGCTTCACTACCTCATCCACTGATCCATCCTCCTCACCTGGAACTGTGCCTAATATATATATCGCTCACTAGTCTGTGCCACTTAACATGGAAAATAAAACACAGGCGCCTGTGATCAAACACAGCTTGTTTTTACATATCTTCTGATTTCAGTGGTGATACTACACAGTATAGTAGGACAATATCACCCTCATATGCTAAATCGACAAAACTTTTCCTTGGTAAGTCGCTACTACTACATTAGCACACCTTTGATCTATAATATTGCACCCGCAAACAGTAAAGTTGTACTTCATATGTCATTTTGCACTTGTATTATTTAGACCGTTTGTGGTTCATCAGATTATTGCATTTTTTTATCTGGATGCACATTTCGTTAATCATCGAGCCATCCTGTGTTCAACCTTTATGTCTTTGTTATTTGGATGCCAGATAGCCCCATATTTGGGTGTCTATACAATGTTTATTTGATGCATTTTGTGGAGTAGAACAATGATTTTGTAGTTCTTCAACAGTCTGTTATTAATATAATTCTATTTGAAACCACTTGGTTTTGTTTTGGATTTCGGTCGAAGACTGTGAGTCCGTCTCTTCAGAAGGTTGTTCCTGCAGTCGCTGCCTTATATTACATCCCTATTGAAGATATAAGTCACCTGATGATTTTCTCTCTGTAATCAGTGACTAGGTAGCATTTCTAGGGTTAATGTCTCCATACAACAGTGGGAATCGGATGGTGTAGTTGTGTGAATTCGATAAATGGTGAACTGTAGAAAGCACAAATGACAACAGTCCTTGCAATTATGCATCGTAACTTTGGCTTGAATGAAGCCTTCATTAATTGTTAAATGGGCACTTGACGAACGTCACGTCTACACAGGAAGTGAATATGATTTAGTGAAACACATATACCTTCAATTTCACTATGGAGCCTCCATACTAATCGTATTACGATAGGGGTCTGCAAAGACTATTCACAACCTCACTTATATGGGAGTAAAGTGAAAAACTTTTATTCGCATCTACTAGAGGCGATCTTGTGAAGTAACCCCTGTGTGCTGTGAACTCCCAATACTGAGGAGGGAAGAAAGGTATTTATCATGACAGATAGACTTTATGACAATTCACCAGTCAATATGACCTGACCTTGTCTCCCATGATTATTTTGTGATTCGTGATCACCACAATGTAAACTCCAACCACTTGAGACTGACCTCGGATGAGCGTGGTATTCCATCTTCTAATGTGTATGTATATGTTATTCACTAACCATTTTGTTTCACATATCAGTACTGTTCAGTACGTCTTTGTTCTTCTTTGAAGGACAGTTGCTTTTGTGTAATTGTGCTGTTTCCACTCTATTTTAGAAACAAATAAATTTCACGTTAAGTCACCTCAGTTTTAACTGTAGTAAAGCCTAGACTCTACATCGTCAGCACTGATGGTGAGGGTTAAAATAAGTAGGCGAATTTAATCTCACTAAGGTATTCATAAACTGTCACTACATATGAGGTTGTGGTGCAACTTGGTGCGCAGTACTATTTATAAAAATTTACTGGAACATAAAGTTTCCCAGGTCTTGTAGGGACTAGTGCTCATTCTGAACAAAACAGTGCCCATCTTCAAGGTATGAGCTTCAGTAACATTTGCCAGACCAGAATGAAGGACACCTCTAAACCACAACCAAACAGGTGTGATAGTGAGTTCACCAAAGCGCAAAGTATATGCTTCCTGTCAAAAAACAAAGGTGTGCTGTTAGCGTGAAAAAAATTAAAACTGCATGCATGAGATAGGCGTTTCTATGGTATAAATGAAGTTCGACAACTCAACTGAACCTCAGCTATTTAAATATCAACGATCGGTTTGTTTATTCGTGTGGACTGAAACACATGGTGTGGAAAATAATTTTAGGGATACATGAGTTCGCAAGCTTCGTTGTGTTGTAATTATGAACTCGAACATTCTCTTCAAATCATCGTCAATAAATACATCTTTCAGCAGCCGTGAGTGTTATATTTCCATTTCGCTAGCTGGGGCGGCGTTAAAAGCAGTGTGACCACCAGGTTAAAGATTCGGCAGGTAGTGCTGCTAACACCCAGGTCTAGAAGGATTGATAACCACGCATTCACTGTGGGAGTTATATCTAGTCGAAACCAACTAGAAACGAGTTCCGAACCATCCCGGCAGCCTAAATAATTAGTTTACTAGAATCGGTGGAGCCGACGTGATTTACGCTGACTCAACTCCTTCTTGCTGCATATTATCATTCAATGCTTCCCATGTCATATCGTCGTTTTTCCTGACAACAGCTGCACTTCAGCAATAATTTTGGTGAGTCAACCATAGCTGTCATCTGCGCTACTACTTTCCGTAGACTACAGTTTCTCATGGCTATTTCAGATCATTTCGGTGGGAGAGTACAAACTAATATTATCAAAATGCCGCTGGATGATAGACACACTTGCAGAACAGGAAGTAACACAGGCGAATTTCGATAAATCTCAATTTTTTCAATTAGTACTCATGCGACTATAGTAAGCCGTGGTTAAGTATCCATTTTCGCTAGGTATTTAGTGTTTACATATTTTAATTATTATTATTGTTCCCTTGGGTTCCTAGTGGAACGTAGGGCTTCAACTGCACGTCTCCACTTGTTTCTATCTTCTGCTGTACTTTTCACCTGCATCCATGTTAGTCCATAATGTTTCATTTCCTCTTCACACGATCTCCTCCATGTCACCCTTGGACGTCCCACTCGCCGCTTCCCTTTCGGGTTCCACTCGAGGGCCTGACGCGTGATGTCACCCAACGGCCTCCTCAGCGAGTGTCCAATCCATCTCCACTTTCTCCTACATATTTGTTGGGCGATTGGTTCTTGTTTTGTTTGTTCCCATAGCTTCTTGTTTGTGATTCTTTCCGGCCATCTAATCTTCAGTATAGAACGAAGACAGTTGTTGATAAAGG